GGGCTGCCCGAAGGAGAACCGGTGGAAGCCCCTCAGTCAGGATTCGGTCCTTGCTCTCACAGGTAGTAAGAGAGATCCGTGGGGTATGGGACAGCAATGACCCTTCTGTTCCATCCTTCCCAAGGGTTACTTTGATGTGCGTGTTCTTTTATATCCTAATTATGCTAATTTTAGTTATATAGCCATTCATAATATTATTTTATAGCTGTTATCCTATGGGGTTAAAAGGTGTTAGAAATTATTATAATAAATTACTGCCTAAACTTGGATTTATCCAATAAGCAAATTGCAACACAGCATCTTCAGGTTTGAAATTAACATTACCCTGCCTAAATCTAGCCCCTTCAGAACTTTCTGACTATGCTTTTTTGAGATGTTCTTTTTTGAAATGTACTGGATAAGCTGGGCAGTTGAATCCAGTTTTTATCATCATCAAGGCTAAATTCTGAGTGCAAAAACTATTAGGTCAGCTAATTTCACAGCTATAGCTGTGTCTTTGAGGCCTAGTCAGTTCCACAAACAGTTACAAGTTACATTTGTGGGTTACAAAAATACAAGCTTCATATTAGACAAAAGTTCCAAATGCCTCCAAGAAGCACATATTTATTGCTCATTAATTTCTTTGGTTCTGGTCATCACAGTAGGCTACTTCTACCCTCAAAGAGTAGGCACACCTTAGTGCCCTGCAGCAGTGTCACCTAGGGATTCCTGAGGAATCCACCCAGCATGCTCCCATTATTGTAAATACTAGTGGACCTAAACTGATGGAAGCAAATTTTGAGACCAGACCTCAATGTAAAAAAAAGGCTCTCTTTGATGCCAAATCAAGACTTCAGTGTATATGGAACAGGAGAATTCATCACTTCTATCTGGGAATGCATAAACATTTCTATATTTTAACTGTTTTCCATAAATCGGGTACTCAGAGCAGGTGGACAAGTGCATTATAAGACAAGCATAGGTGTGCAAGCCTACTTTCTAATTCTAGATCATTAGATATCCACATTATCTCTTGTCTGCAGCATTTTAACAGTCACATTTACTTGTTTAAGATGCCTGAAGGATGCTTTCAGGGGAAGGGGTATGATAAACACTAAAGTCTCTCATTTTGCACAGGTGTGATTGATTACACAAGATACGAGTCTGTAGAAAATGATGCCCGCAATTATTTTAATCTCCCTCAATTCTTTTTGTTCTTAAAATACTCAGTATTGTGTTTGGACCATTTTAGACCATTATTTGTCTTTTAATACCACCTAGCACCAGTCAATCCCCTTTGTGCTGAGCACCATACATTCTGTGAGGCTCTGGAAAAGGACAAATAGTTTTAAGATGGAACTTGCTAAATTTTCAAAAGGGATTGTATCATGTGGCTGCCTGTGATAGCAGAGGATTGAACTAGGTGACTCATAGTTTCATAGATTAAGGGTCGGAAGGGACCTAGTAGATCTTCTAGCCCGACCCCCTGCCAGGGCGGGAGAACAACAAAAACCCCAAAAACAAGAAACGGGACTCAAATGAGTCCAGCCAGGTAGGCATCCAGCCTCTTCTTAAAGACCCCCAGGGTAGGGGCCAGCACCACTTCCCTTGGAAGTTGGTTCCAGCTCCTAGCCACCCTAACTGTGAAGTAGTTCTTGCGGATGTCCAATCTATACCTCCTCTCCATC